ACTCGATTATTTACAGACCGCCGTTTTACAGCTGGAGTTTTCCTCAAGAACATACAAACAACACACAAACAAACAAACTTTGGCGGTATTTAAATGTCACAAAAATATGCAGCCAGACTTGCTACATCAAACAGTTAAGATTAACAGTCTGCCCTTGGTATTATAATATGTAATATTTCCATAAATACAATTTTGAAACACCTACTTATTATATGGCATGACTGCACAACATGTCTCCAAACAACAATCCATCATGTTAGGTGGCCTGGAAGGCAGATGTTCTAAATGTTGACTAGGGGTATTGTTGACTTTATTTCCAGCTTCTTTCAATGGTATATCAAGCAGTGCATGAAACTGCTCCCACATATCTTAAAGATCACACAAGGCAGTTTTTCCCGTCATGAATGCTTTGAGAAAAACCAACAATTCAGGCTGCTGGTTCTGAAATCGAAGTAAAGACCTTTGGCCCCGGATCGTAAAGCGTTGCTGTCGCTTCTTTGTGGAACTCACTCAGTCTCACACTGAAACCAGAACCAACACTTCACTCCCCAAAGTCTGGGTGTAAAACACACATCTGCCAGCACTTTAAGAGTAAACTGCATTTGATAGTCTTGCAATTTGTGTGCACTTTGACAAATGGTAAACATACATGGCCTACTTGTTGTTTTTTTTGACAAAGATCGCCTGAAACTAAATAAAGTTAGGAACAAGAACAAACCATCAATAAAAATCTATTAAACCAATGTGTTTTGAATATGTAATTACCAATAACACATAATATGCAAAGTAGGCGTTTGAGACAACAATCACACACACAGATCTATCTTTCTATAGAACATTTTATTCTAACATAACATTTAACTCTATAATCTGCAAACTTGTCTGACTAGTAGCCACCTATGGCCACTAATGGGTTTTGCAATATGGTTACCCCGGTATGTTGATTTACGATTGCATTGCTGATCGCCACAAAGTCTGAAAATGTTTCAGCTTAACAGCTGCACAAATTAAAAAAAACAACAAGTGTCACTCTCAAGCCGATTTTCCACACTCTAGCCAAAGTTCGCACACAATAAACACAATATAAGGCATAAACTAGAGCCCAGCTGAGACACTTAGGTACAATACAATGACACCTACATACATACAATACCCACATGTTAACTTCGTGTGAGTTCATTGGAGTATGGACCTTGCTAGCGTGAGGGCCAAACTGTATGAATGTCGGAACTTGCGGAGTTCCCGAAAAAGAGAGGTGACATGTATGCTCAACCTGCTTTACAGAAAACATCTGGTGTAGTTTGTTTTCAAACAACATATTCATATAACATCATCATTGGGAGAGTGAGTGCGTGAATATTGTTTTACGCCGATTTTAGCATTATTCCAGCAATATCAGGCAGGGGACACCAGAAACGGGCTTAACACATTGTACCCATGTAGGGAATCGAACTGGATCTTTGCCATGACAAGCGAACACTTTAACCACTAGGCTATCAACTTCCTCTTGCTACATTAACAAACAAGAGTCACCAGAAGATGACACACAGAAATTCGAAAGAACAATTTTTCTGACTGTTACTTTAAGTCTAACTTGATGAGAGAAAAAGTATCTAATCTGTCTGTCCATTTACACAAATAGTTATTGAGTTATCAAAACAATACCATGGCATTGGGATTCGGAACTTTGTATTTCTATGTCCGATACACTAAAATATCAACAGAGCCCAAATCAAACTTGTTGCCATGGAAACAGAAACAATATAAGTTCTAAACATCCCAAGTAGCAAACGGGATGTCTAAAGAGTCTAAAGTGTCATGAAAGAATACCTAATAGTTTTAGGGAAATGGTCCAGACAAACACACCACTCAAACGTGTTGCCATGGAAACGGGATTTTGTTGTTGTTGAAATACTTTAATAGCTAAAGGCACAACTTTCACCCTTGATTAATACATGAACCAGGTTTGGATGAAAAATGTGGATTTTGTTAAAGTTCTGCTCCCAAACCAGTGTTTCAACTAAGTCTGACTTGTTTCCATGGAAGCAGGAAAACAGTTTTCAAGTTGTGCTCTGTAAACGCCACCTACACAAATAAAAATGCCAAATGTCATCTTTAAATGTGCAATAGAACATGAGGGAACCTTCCTGTGTTCTAGCAACTTCTTTTTCTTTTTTCCTTATCTATTAGCCTCCCCAAATATTCCAAAAGGTTGTCTTTGCAAATGTCTTTTTGTAAAAACACTAAAGCAAAAGTGTGAAAATGCAATATACATTATATCAGAAGAGATAGGTGCAGTGTTAGAAAATAAAAAGGGTTTGCAAGTTTACACAGTTCACAATCAGGGCTCGCTTTAACATGATATAGAATATGAACATTGGATTATACTTATTCCACATTTCTACATGGCACCAGAATACAAAAGTTCAATGTACCGCAAGAGTTAAATGATATAGATGATTAACCACTGTGTTCGGTTGTTACCGAAAAATCTACACACGTGTGATTAATCTCTCAAGATTAGAACGAGGCTTTGCCTCAATTTTGGATTGTGTAGAATACAACTGCTCATCCCTTGTTGTCATCCATGTATCCTGGTATAACCTACACCTGTGTATGTGTCGTCTTTCACTTGATACTCAGTTAATGAATTTATTGCAGGTATAATTAGTGGAAGATCCACTCAGATTACCTGATCGGTTCCCATTTGGCCTTTCCTGGGTAATTATTCAATCTAAATCCAGGTTTTGAAGTGGGGTAAGATGTATGGTATGTGATATGCATGCCCAGTACAGAGAACCAAGAGGGGAATGATCACCTGAGTAAAAAACTCCCATCAAAGGATCAACCAATGTTAATAGATTAATCACTGTTTTTTTGCAATGTGAATTTGTCAAAATTTAGTGTTTACAAGTGTGGGTTTACTAAATCAGAAGGAACACACCAATATCTGGGCATGAAGTGCCTTTGTGAAAACAACTTACTTTGTTCAAAAGATAAGGCGATAATAGGTTGACTGATTGCTCATTATTATATAACTCAATGGATTTATTTCAAGAACTAATGAGACTTGGCACCTGTTTGAAACACCAGAAACAAACGTAAGTGATCAGTTGGGTCTGACTGCCCCTCACTTTTCCATGCAACGACAATCGTTGAACACTTTGTTTATTGTTTGTTATCCCTTGAGCTTGACATACGCAAACTGTGGAAACTTCATAATTATGATTTACAGCAATAGTTATGTAAATATATTATCGTCATCAGACGTCTGAGATGTACTTTTTCAGTTTATTCATCAATGTTTCATCTTTGATCAGTCTATGAGACAAGAGTACAACTGCATTTTGTCTGGTGCAACTATGTTCTCATGTCAACATGCACCTGGAGCAAGTTAAATGAAGTTCCTTAACCCCCATCTGGCTACCCTTCCTTGGTATGAAGGTTTACTTAGGCCTCAGGGGCTGACAGCAGAATGTCACAAATCCCCTTATTTAATGTAAACAATGTAGCATGCCATCAGTTCTGTCTGTTAGGTGCTTTTGTGTGAATAAATCCCTTGTTTTGCCTCGATGCGCTCTTTTACCTTGTAGAAATTGTGTAACTTGGACATGCACGTACATTAAGTACATTTAAGAACCCCAGACCACAAAAGGCCCCCCTGTTGCTCAGTTAATTGTGTTAACACTGTTAATTGTGAATAAAAATAACAACTTTTGTTTTGGGACAACCTGTACACTTCCTTATTAAGATGAAATTTTGCTTTGTTTAATATTTTCTGGGAGTATTTCAACGTCTTAATTGAATGAATCATTAAACTTAAGAGTAATTTTCTTTCATGTTTTTGCTTAACAGCGTTTTCTTTATATTTAGGGAGTTACTTCCCTTTATCGGCTGTGATAGACAGTATGGTAACAATCCACCCCTTTACTTCCTATATTCTGGTAAGGTTCATTACCTCGCCTCACATGTATGAGAACTTTAAAACTGCTTAATGTGTCCCTGGTCAATGTTCTGGCCTGAATTCCGAGGTTGTTCTGTCCAAATTTGAATAATGTTTCTGATTTCTTTCCATGTGTACCAGGTTTTCTCATATAGTGCTTCTACTTTTGATTTTGGGAGTAAAAGAAAGCACATACAATTGTCTGATCCCTTCTATAGATGATTTACTAAATGTGGACCTAAGAGACAAGCAAAACCAGTGAAGATCCGGTGCAGAATAGGTCTTTAGCAATCCATGCTTGCCGTAAAAGGCGACTATTGTTGTCATAAGAGGCAACTAATGGGATTGGGTGTTCAAGTTGGGTGTTGGGTGTAGAATGTCATCGAATGCAAATGGCAAAACCTTTTTCAGTAAGGCTGTGTGATAAAAGGGATGCCTTCATCTTTCCAAAAGCCAGCTTTTTCTTTATGTCAAGTAATATTCCCGCAGCTCCAGCCTTTGTTGTTTGCAATTTCACACCTCCTGAGGTAAAAAGGAGCATGATATAAAACGAAGTCATGCTCACCTTTGCTCAAGTTTTGTTTGGTCAAGATTGCAACATTCAAGGCATCAACAAAGCTTTAAAAGTGTTTTATGGGGGAAATGTGGAGGACATGTCCAAATTTGACAAACATGATGTCCTATGCAATGCCCTGTTTACAATTGTACAATACACGATAGCCTGTTATTATCACTTTTTGATAGCAATTAACAAATACATGCTTTTATAAAGTCGGAATCACTAGCGTTTTAGCTTCTTTTGCTTATGGACATTTTGTATTGATTCACCGAGTGTTTATTAAACCAACATCATTTGGAAAGATGAACTCTTATAACTGTGCATAAATCTGCCTATATTTGGTATGATGTGATGTTTCTTCAGTATTGCAGTAAAAGTTCATTCACTCCCAGTAACCACTTTCATCCTTATTTTCCAGAATTACATTTTCTTTGTCGGCAGTAGCTATAGTGACATGTGAAAAGATATATTTCACAATATTTATATTTTTTGATTCACAGGCAAGATATAGAATGGTGTTGCCATCTGTATCAACGGAAGACAGATTTGCTCCTTTCGTCACCAGAAAGTCAAACACGTCTCTCTTCCCCTTCAAGGCCGCCTTCATTACTGCCGTCTGTCCGTCGTTTCCTCTGCTGTTAATGTCTACAATATTCTGTGCGAGAATATACTCGACTATCTCCATCTTTCCACCCGCCGAGGCATAATGAAGAATGTTTCTGTCACTGTCTTCCACTTATGTCAGATTCGCCCCCTTCTTCACAAGTAAATCAAATGCTTCCTTTTGATTTACTGCTGCAATCATAAGTGGAGTCTTCCCATCCTCTGTTCTTGAATTGATGTCATCTACAATATTCTGTGAAAGAATATACTTCACTATTTCCACGTTTAATCCATAACAGGCCAGATGAAGAATGTTCTCCTGATGTGCAGTAACGCTTCTTAGATCAGCACCTTTACTTACTGGCAAGTCAAACACCTCTCCAAGTCCCTGTAGTGCTGCCAGCATAACAGGTGTCGTTCCGTCATTACTTTCACTGTTAATGTCCACAGTTGTGTTTGTGATCAAATACTTCGTTATTTTAGTTTGTTTGCTTGTGCAGGCCACGGGAAGGACGTTTATATACTCATAATCCCTTTGTGTCAGATTAGCGCCTTCTCTCACAAGCAAATACAATATGTCTCTATGTTCCCAAGATATTGCCATCATTGCTGGTGTCCTGTCGTCATCGTCTTTGCTGTTGATGTCCAAACTGTTTTGAGAAGAATGTTGTCATCGTATTCACTCACATGAGTCATATCTGTCTACAATATTTTGTTTGAGGACATACTTTACTATATCCACATTTCCTCCTTCACACGCCATAAGAAGGATATTGTTGTTTTCTTCCTTCAGAGTCAGATTAGCTCCTTTCTTCACAAGTAAATCGAATATGTCTCTGCGACCCCTCTTTGCTGCTATCACTGCTGCTGCATTGCCATCCATGTCGTTGCTGCTCATTGCATCAATGTTCTCTTCGAGAGCATATTTCACGATCTCAATATTTTCCCCTTTACATGCCATGTGAAGGATTGTCTCATGATCAGCATGCATTATTGGCAGATCAGCGCCTTTTTGCACTAAGAAATTAAACACGCCTAGTTTCCCGTTAAGTGCTGCAAGCATGACAGGTGTCAGCCCGCAGTGTTTCCTGTTAATGTCCACATTGTTCTGTTTCAATACATATTCTACTATCTCAGTATTTCCTCCCCGAATGGCCAGATCCACAAAAGTAGATCCCTTATCATCAAATAGTGTTAGATCAGCACCTTTACTCACCAGCAAGTTAAATACGTCTCCATGTCCACTAAACACTGCTAACATGCCTGCCGTCGACCCGTCCCGTCTTCTACTGTTGATGTCTGTCACGTTCTGTTCGAAGACATACTTCACTATTGGAACATTTCCCCCTTCACATGCCACATGAAGGATGCTCATCTCAACTCTACTCATGATTGACATACTGGTTCCTTGCCCCACAAGAAAGTCAAGCACTTGTCTATGAGCACTCAGTGCTGCAAGCATCAGTGGTGTCATTCCGTTCTGTCCTCTTGTGTTGATGTCTGCATGACCCTCAGATAATAAGTATTTGACTTGGCACATGTCTCCATTCTTGCAGGCATCGAGGAGATCAGTGTACTTTGGTATTGTGTGTGATTCTGTGTTACTGAAAGAAGACATCAATATTTATCATACAAACCTGGCTTCCACAGTAGATATCGCTTGGGATCGGATTGATGACCCAGTCTATGTAGTCGTTTTGGAATAGATACCACTGGTGACCAATCATCACCAAGGGGCTCGTGAAGATCCGGGGTAGAGTAGGTCTTCAGCAACCCATGCTTGCTGTAAAAGGAGACTATGCTTGTCGTAAAAGACGAATAACAAGATCGGGTGGTCAGGCTCGGTGACTCGGTTGATGCATGTCATCGGTCCTAATTGCGTGGATCGATGCTCATGTTGTCAATCTCTGGATTGTCTTGTCCAGGCTCGATTATTTACAGACCGCCGTCAATAGCTGGAATATTGCTGAGTGCAGCATTAAACATCAAACCAAACCAAACCAAATCATTACCAAGGACCCCGGTAACAGTATCAGTTTGAGACGTTTGGACATAATAGCCCAAATAGTCAAGAGAGTATCAAATGAAATTGCACAAACTTATAATAGTGTAGAAAAATGGATTCAGAGAGTTTATTTTATGATTTCATTTGTACAACAGTTTCTGTGAGCATGACTGACAGAGATTTCTTATGATTATGAAAATGGTTTTATTCAGTATATTTATGAACAAAACCACATGTCAACTTCACTCTACTCCGCTAAAGGATAGCAGAGGGAGGCCTAAGTAATAAATATAAAATTATTTGACACTTATTTCGTAGTTCATGATGTCAGAAGGATGTGGCAAATGTAATGGCACAGAAATGAATGCACGACCTATAATAAGTATACAGGTGCTGTAGAACATAGACTATATATACAAATACATTCTACAATACTGTTGTTATCCCATGTTGGTGTGTCAAGGACTAGTTATATTAAGGTTACTATGTAATGGGGATGTATGTCAGTGACATTTCTGTTGCTAAGCTCTAAATGTCAGCCTAGTTCTGTAATAATCTTCTTCAGAGATTAAACAGCAGGGACGTAAGCTAGGCCCAGATGAATTCCTTTACCTTTGTGATCCTCGGGTTGTGTTACCCAGGCCCCAAGTGGTGGAACATCCTGTTCAAATGTCACTTCACTCGATGCTGAAACCAAATTTCATATGGGATCAGGATGCGTTACTTTTCGTTTACTATATCAAAATATCACTTTGACATCGACTCAAAATACAACTTAGAATCAAGAACTAGAAACCCAATGGATACTTTGATTTATGATTTTGGTCCAATAACCGAGCTGTTGGTTGCAAATAATCCTCATTTTGTGCCTGTTCCTAATCAGGATCCTGTGGCATTTCCTCTTGTTTGAGGGGGCACGGGTGGCCCAGTCGTCTAAGGCGCCGCGATTCGCTGTGCAGAGTTGCGTCCCTTGGGCATGCCAGAAACCTATGATTGTGGGTTCGAATCCCGGTTCGCCCCGATTATGTTTCTAGGTTTGTCAGCACCATACCCGTTCTCGTGGGTTTCACCGAAGTGGTAAACGTCTGAGACCTGCATCACTTCGGGATTTCCTCCCACATTAAGCTGACACGCCGTGATCTGACTGGAATACTGTTAAAAGCGGCGTTAAACCCAACTCACTCACTCACTCACTCACTCACTCCTCTTGTTTGACATACTCTTACTTGGCTCATATTTGGTTTCTATTAGTCAAAATAGTAACACTTCAAGCTGGTTTATTAAATTGTGTACCTTAGATGTCCCGTTACTTATACATCTGAAATCATCCAAATGACAATTATTCTACTGTTATGTTTCTGATAACTCAAACACAAACATTATTTGGGAAATTAGTTAATTGAAACAACTCTTGCAAACTCCATGTTCTCGTTACTCATAATAATCCTGTGTAAAGCAGCGAGGGTAGAATGTACACTGGAAAGTCTGGTACCGAAATAACCATACAAGATCAATGAATATTTAATAAATTATATTAAACACACAGGATTGAGTTTCCAATCATTAAAAGGCAACACAATAGGTCATATGTGGTAGCAGCAGAACATAATACGCATGTTTGCTGGTGTATTTGTGCTTGTAATTTATGTGTGAGTATATATGTGTATCTATTCTAATATAATGTATATATAATGTATGTATTCATAATGTATATGTATACATATAGTAATAATTAAATAAGTGGAGTAAGATTGAACACACTTTTAATTGGCTAGCGCTTTCAACTCGTACCAGGTATAAGTCACATCAAGCCATAATTGAATAATGGACATGAAGTTGTAACATATAGTTACGTGACGTCTTTAGGAGAACTTTGACGTCACAATACCAAAGTGACAATGGACAAATAATTTAAGCCTTTACATTTAACTTAGACGCGTATTCATGAATAAAATGTTGTTCTTTTTGAAATAATGTAGGTTCATGATCACAATTTATCTTATAAACCGGGAAAACTAAAACGTTGCCGCTTCCACATGTGTCTAAATGTTCACTTAGTGGACTTGTGCGGTTGTGTGGCTTCTTTATTTGTGAACGGTGAAGATTCATTCTTCATTTTTATTTAAGTTCTGTCTTTCCGATATACTTTTCATTGCATCCACTACAAACAATCAAATAAATAACATTTCTAGTATCACAAGTCATATTTTGTAAGGGATATTACGTTTTGTATGATACGGTGACATGATCCAAAATTCAAATATTGGTGCGTATCCGTATCTTTATAAAATATATCAGTTTGTACAAGTCTCCCAGATATTAAATTTATTCTTACATCGAGAAAGGTTACACTGGATTCGCTTTTTCCAAAGTGAAATTAAGTGACTCATCAAGTGAATTAAGAATTTCATGAATGGATGTTAGTTGACCTTCACTGGTTTTTAATATGATAAAACAGTTGTCTAAAAACCTTTTCCATGAATGTTTATTTTTTTCTTTCATAGATTCAACATGTGTATCTCTCACCTTATCATAAAACATATTCTCTAAAAATCCCCAAACGAGGGTTGCATAAGTAGGGGCTACCTTTGTATCCATGGCTTCTCCTTTCTTTTGTGATCCATCAAAATAAAACATGTTATTGGTAATAACCAAGTTCAATGCATCAATGATAAAATCATCCAAAATCTATCTGGTATTTCATGGCAGTATTCTTTCAGCAAGTATCTGATAGCTTCCAATCTGAGCTCAGTTTCAATATTACTGTACAAACTAACAACATCAAAACTATCTGACATAGATCCTTCCGGTACCCCAGTAGGTAATTTACATAAAAAATCATTGTCATCTCTGAGAACACTTTTTACATGTTTACATAAGGGCTTAAGAATTATATTGATGATATTGCTAAGACGCTGAGTACAGCTCTCGGTCCTCCCACATTATATCTACATAGTAAATCCTCTGGATTTTCAAAAGTATTCACAATTTTGATAATTAATTTCATTTTGAATACATTTACATTTATGTAGTTAGAGTAGGCCTTAAAAAATAGAATTGTCTAGAATTTCGTCATCATAACAATGTCTTAACCTCATTCTGGGCAGATTTTTCTTCTCTTTTACTAGAATTGCTATAATATTGATCATCATTTAAAATGGACATTATCTTCCTTTGATAAAATTATTTATTCATAATAACAATAGCACCACCTTTATCGTCCTCTTTAATAATGATGTCTGTATTAAGTTTAAGAATAGTAAGGCCTTTCAATTCACATTCAGACAGGTATTGTTTTGTATGTTTAATATGAATAGAAGCACTTCAATTCTATCACAATATATACATATATATATACCGAACCTGAGTCACATATATTACAAGCACGAATATAATTTACTGATTTCTTTGACTTGATATCCCAAATAAACAATATGATGATATATTGGTCATGGTAAAATAAAGGAAACAGTTTTATACGTTGACAAACTGAATGCTGATATCTCATATCCCAGCCAACTTTTAATGACTTAATGAGATGTGAGACGTGTTCATAATTCTAAAGGCCAAATTAAATGTATTCTGCGGACATCCTAAAGTGTTGTGTGTTGATTTTCCTTCCTAAGTTCTGTGTTGCGCACTAGGAAGTGTGCAAAAAAGACTGAAATACTAATATAACTACTTATTCAAAATCGATTTGTTAAAAGAAATGTCAAGAACAAGGAGGCTGATTATTTTACATTTCAACAATTACCTTTGACACAGACAGTTTTCCACTTCGGGTCTTCAGACATTTCATACCCTTGCAAATTTCCAATGCACAGGGGCCGTCTCGGTCCTGTACACATGAGTGAATGTTGTCATAACAGGGTAATGGCATCTCGTTTCAGTTCCTTTTTTTAAAAGACCATTTTTGTCTATCGCTTTATGTAAAAGCCAAATATATGTATACAAGAAACGCCAAATGGATACAGTCGGTATTAAGAGTCAAAATCGTCGACTTAGTGCCAAAGAATTTGTAATGTCATGTGGACACAGTACATTGCCATGGTTACCGTTAAAGAAAAGCTGTGACCAAATAATGTGCAGGTTCGCCAAAACAATATGTGCACGTGCAACAACAGTAGAAAAGCGTTGTCACGTGTATTATTCCGACTGAAGAACCACGACCACGTGAAGCGCAGAGGGATAACGCCATCGCCCTCTTGGAAGCAGCGTAATCCAGTTTAGCGATGAGACCAGACTTATCTTCCGGCGGCAGGTGAATGATGTCTTGTTTATAGGTGTCGTCATGAACACTGTGTGGTCGTCTACGTACATCAGGCTGACGGATGATGTGTCAGCCTCATGATCTTCAGGAAAGCAGAAATGCACAACACAAAATTGACCAGACACTGAGCCACATGTTGTTTCCCTTATCGCCAATGCCAAAGTTGTATACCAGGACAACAACGCTTAGCTTTACACAGCATCATTAACGGATACCTCTCGACAGAACACCAACATTGATGTCCTACGTAAATCCTCCCGTTCGACGGATTTAAATCCAATAGCACATTTAAGTTGGACACGTTGGAAAGACCCATGCGATAGCGACAAACACAACCACAGACACTGCTGTAGCTGCTTCTATCATTGCAGAACAAGGGGGGTAATCCGTGCTATAATTGGTTCGATGGGCAGGACACGTCAGACACATGCCAACTCACAGGGAGGAAACACTAGCTGTCGACTGGAGATGTCCTTCAGTTGCATGATATTTAGGAAGCTAACTCTAACCCAGAAAACCATTCTCAACCAGACATAACTAGCACCCGTAGGATCAAATCTACCAGAAACGGCAAAACCTCCCCTACCCCCATCTTAATCATAAATTTAAAAACACCAGCTAAACACCTAGAAGCCTCCCTTTTGGCGCACACACAAACCTAGAAGTAAATCCATACATCAAACAAGTAAACCAATGCTCCAACTGCTTACAATATCACCACATTGCCAACTAATGCAAATTCCAAAAACATCAATGCCCAGGCACGTGCTCACCCTGGTGCATACATTGTAAATCTATGAAACACTCATCACTCTCCAACCAATGCCCACATAGACATTCGCTCACACAACAGGCCAACAAACCCATCAACATAGACACGGCCAAAGTCCACGTTAGAAAACATACGCCGCATACATCCAAACCTGTGCTCCCCACACCACAGCCAAACAACACCCAACTCACACACACTACAACACTCCCAGACTCTGCCTGGGGCATAGACACGCAAAACGCAACCACTGCTACCTCCACACACCTTTCCACACATTATCACACACATCCACACCCGCATGCAAAACCACCGCAAGACGACGACCATACCACAACCCAGCACCTATCACACCGCAGCCTCCAGGGCAACAACATCTAGACACCAGCAAACACAATCCGAAAACCCAGGCAATAAGAAATTACAACAACATCTAACATACAACCACAACCACCAACCGAAACACAACAACCACGCACTCAAACAACTCCTATGGAGAGTGATACAACTAAATCAAACCTAGACACAGAGGACGAATACTCAACCACGGAGGAAATTAATGGAGCTACCTTTTCAGCCCTCCAAACAACTAAATTCTTTCAACGTTAAACCCCTCAACTCACAAACTCTAAATACTTAAATGATCTT